GCTGTGACACAATGCATGACTTACTATACTACTTTGGAGTTCTGTGCCAACAGGTCATCTCTGACTATGAGTCAACTATTGCATTCTGTGTTGAGGCGACGATGGCTTAGTTGTTCAACACTGCAAATGTTCTGATTTAAATAGTGAAATGAGAACCCTAAGGAGACTGTGTCAGCATGAACCAGATGTCACTGAAAACAACGTGATGATGATGAGGATGAGGAGGAGGAGGAGGATGCTTGTTTGATGGGTGGAGATATTCCTATAAATGGATTAGGAGTGAGAGAGTAAACCGAAGAACTCACATCTCACAACACATAGAAGCACATAAGATAATATGTGCCCTAAATACACACAGCCGTGCGCATGAAGGCCTACTGTCACAATCCACAGCACAGGCAGGCGCTTCTCAATCAGGCAGAAGTGGCATTTGACCAAGTGTGGTGGTACGTGCCTGTGATCCCAGCCTCGTTAGGACACTCGCAGACATCTCCCACCCTGCAGATTTTATGTTTTTAGGGACTTCAGAATCAGTTGAATGTCCTTTAGGACTACATTTCTAGGAAAGAGAATATATATGTATATACACATACATATGCAAAAACTGAGGAATTTTATCAGAGTGGTATTTCTCAGACTTGGCTGGATATTGAATCAATTTTTAAGCTTGGATTATTATTTTTTTTAAGTGTGGGTCTTATCCCAAGAGATTCGGACTTAGTTGGCATGAATACATCATGGCTTTTAAAACTCAGCATGCTGTGTAGTAGAAGCCAGCATTCTTTCTTTCAAGACTTATTTTCCTTAGAGAATCTGGCTTCTATTTGCACACAGTCCCTCTGAACAGCTTTTTGTTATTGCTTTGTTTTTAAGACAAGGTTTTGCTATGTATTCCTGCTGGCCTGTTAGGTAGACCAGGCTGGCCTCAAATTTACTGTAATCCTCCTACCTCAGTCTGTCAAGTGCTGGGATTATAGGTGTGTACCCCTACACTCTGCCTTCCTGAAAGTTTTGGTGGTACTAATTGGCTTGCCCATTGGAGGCCAGGGCTGAAAAACACTATCATTATTATAGTGATTATGATTTTCAATAAGGTATATTTAATAGCAGCACAAAACTTCATCTTAAAAACCACTAAAGGTAAAATAGAAATTCTTTTGTTTTTAGAGACAAGGTTTCTCTGTGTAGTCCTGGCTGTCCTGGAACTCACTCTGTAGACCAGGCTGGTCTCGAACTCAGAAATCTGCCTGCCTCTGCCTCCCAAGTGCTGGGACTAAAAGCGTGCACCACCACTGCCCAGCCCAGAATATTTTTATTTATTTATTTATTTATTTTATATTTTATTTTATTTTATTTGGTTTTTCGAGACAGGGTTTCTCTGTATAGCCCTGGCTGTCCTGGAACTCACTCTGTAGACCAGGCTGGCCTCAAACTCAGAAATCTGCGTGCCTCTGCCTCCCAAGTGCTGGGATTAAAGGCGTGCGCCACCACTGCCTGGCTAATAAAATAGAAATTCTTAAAGACATGAATTGCTTCCTGGCTGACATCTCCCACCTTTTTACACCCACAGCACATTGACTGGAACATCTGCCTCCTTAGAACTCTGAACACCAACCAGTTGTCATAAAAACCACATCTGTACCAGCATATCTTCCCCAATGTTGCTACCTGACTCCAGCACTGTTTCCAGTAATTCTCAACCCTTCAGGCCCAGCACAGCTACTTGGTATTCTTTGTGAAGTGAGTCAGGTATTTTGAAGGATTTATCAAAAATCTTTTCACCAGTGATAGCCATGGTGGGACAGGGCAACTGGTGACAGCCATGATGGCATGAAGGGTGAGAAAGATGATGGTAGCTGCATCTGTGGCAGCTATGACAGGCTCAGGCAATGGCACCTGAAGGGATGCATAGTAGCCAGGATGCTGGCAACAGCTGTAATGAATTTAGTGGATGATAGCAACCACGGAGGCGGTCACATTTGATTGACTGACAGCCTTCACTTTGCCTGCAAGTATGGCCAGCAGGAAGTGGCAGGGAACAAAAGCTAAAGTCCTCAAAGAAATAGTCCTCAATCAAAGGGATGATGGAGGTTGGTTTTCCTCACCACTTGAGTGGGAATGTTCTATCTCCCAGAGTTCCCCAGAGAACTAAGCTATTGCCCACAGTGACGGTTTGCTTGGTGAGATCCTGCCCTTCCCGGTCACACTTCCGGTTGTTCTACAATCATGGCTTTCTGGGATCATCTGCTGAATCCCTGTCTCACATCCCTTAGCTAAGACAGTGTGTCACGAGGAGATTATGATTCAAGTACATATGGCACATTAACAGAACTGAGCCTCTGCCAAGCCATAAAGCTGTGACAAATTTCAAAAGACTGAAACGTCAAAGATGTTACTGAACCAATTTAATTAGGCAAGATAACTAGAAAAATTCCCATATGTTTAGAAACTAAGAAATATACCTCTAATTTTCTAAGTAATACACTACCAATAAAGAGATAAAAATTAGAAAATATACCTTGTAAATAATATAATGTATATACCTCAGTATAGGAAATGCCTGAAACATTCATCTCAAAAAGGTACAAAGTCATGTGTGGTGCATACACCTGTAACCCAAGGCAAGGGGATTAGAAGTTCAAGGTCAGCTTTTGCTACACAGTAAATTCAGGCCATCCTGGCCTACGGGAGAGCCTGTCTCAAACAAATATAAGCCAAAATAAAGATCAACAAAGCTAAAAACAAATTATAGAAAAAGGTTAATAAACTTAATATACTGTCCATATTGATAAAGAAAGAAGGGAACAGCCTCCAAAAATTACTCCTGAAGGGAGGGATGGTACTACAGATGCTATGGACCTTAGGATAACATGGATATTATTAACAGATTTATGACAACCCCAAATCATAGGTAATGTGATAAGTTCCCAGGGAAGATAAGATTACCAAAGCAGACACAGCTAGAGAAAAAAAAAAAAAACCACCATAAAGTTGTGTTTGCTTAAACACAAGCACAGGTTCTTTACAGTCAAATGTCATCCAGAAGTGAAGTCTCCATTCCTGTAATGTGTGAGGTCTCAAGAATGCTTGGGCCAATAGAAGGCAATAGCGTGATGCCTGTGAGGTCCTCTCTTTCACTCTGTTGGACCCCGCAGTCCGGACAGGCCACATTAAAAACCGTCTAAAGTGTAGTCTGGACCGACATTTTGTTGTCCTTATCTCACTCTTAAGAGCATGGAGCAGAAGCCCGACTCAAACAAAACAAGCTGTGCTGGAAACATGCTCCAAAGTCTGAGGGTTCAACCCAAACGAGCTAGGAGCAGAGTCACCAGATCCTAGGCAGCACTTTCAGGACTATGAGACCTGCCGTTCACCCTCTGCCACCACCTCTTCCCTCCAGTCTGGCACACAGGGCCTGGCAGCTCCTCCAGCTTTGACTATATAAGATTCCTACCTTGACTCCCAATGGGTCAGGCTGTTTTCTAAGCCATGATACAAAACTTGGCATTCAAGTGGCTGGCTACTTTTGGAGTCACCTCAAGGGAGGAGACTTATCTCAATAGTTAATCTGAATGGATGGCATAGGCATTGTTGAGCCAAAAATTCTGTAGATCAAGGGATCTGAAATCTTGAGGACAGCCGACAGGAGGAATTGTTGCTGATCTGGGGATGTAGCTAGTTGGTAGAGTGCTTGCCTAGTGTGTACAATATCTCAGTTGGACCTTCAATACCACATAAACTAGGCATGGGACACATTATTATATTCCCAGCCCTTAGGAGGTAGAGATAGGAAGATCAGAAGTCCAAGTCTTCCTTGGCTACATAGCGAGTTCAAGGCCACTCTGGGATACATGAGGCTGCCTCAAAATAAATTAAAATTTTAGAGATTGGTTGGTATTAACAATCTGCAAAGTTCATACATAAATAGGAACCCTAGTGATCAGCATGATACAAATTAAGATTTTAATATACATACAAATGTATTAAGTCGAAGCTTTTTGACATGGAAGTGACAGGTTATGACAGGTTACCTCTCCTGAATACCATGTGAGTTAGTGTCTTCTTTTATCAATTTCTCAAAACACAAAGGAAAAAATAATTCCTGTCAACTGCAGATGATACCCTTACTGCACAGAACCTCATAAATATGAACAGAAATGGACCCTAACTTTCTAAGGCAAAAAAAAAGATTTTACTATCCTCCCATCAACATTAAACAGCTTTTTCATCTTCTGCCTTGCTACTGATCAGGCTGCTCCCACTTATCGTCTAGCCTCTGTTCCTTAGCAGTTACACTGAGGATAGTTGAAGCTTTTATCAGAATGCCATCCCTAGGCTTTCTTCTCTGTATCCTGGACTGTTTCTTCATGAACTGACCATAGTGGGAAGTCAGTGGGCAACAAAAGAGCTGTTACTATGAACACTAAGAAGATAGTACTAATCCGGGTCTGCACGGGCTGGATCTCTGTACTTAGGAAGGTAGTATCATTCAGACTTGCACGGGCCGGATCTCCTCTGTACTTGATTCCTGACTCTTCATATGCTGTCCTCTTCTGAGAGCACGCAGATCCACGTGGACAGAGGCTCAGTGCCTGTGACAATGGCCCTCCCTGACAGACAGGGAGCTGGTAAATACACTAATTTTTTATACACAGTAGCTAAGTTCTTAGCCATCCTCAGAGTTCTCATTTTTGACAGTGGCAACCAGTTTGGTAGTGGCCTTTTAAAGATTCTACCCTTCCAGCACGTGGGTCATGAAATCAAACTCAGGCCTTCAGGGGTGGTGGCAAGCACATTTACCCACAGTCCTGTCTTGTCACCCTGGGAATGTACTTCTTATTGGCTGTCTTGTTTCCCTTCCCCACTCTCTCCCACTACTTCTGGATTCAGACTGAGACTATACCATCAGTGCCTTGCTCTGAGACTTGGCTTCTGGGAGATTGCTAATCAAGACAAAACAAAAATCTAGTGATGGAGGCCTCCAAGCCACGTCTTTCCTGTTTTCAATTTTTAAAGTTTATTTAAAACAAGATGGGGCCTCAGGTCGCCCAGTCTAGCCTCAAAACTATGTAGCAAAGGATGATCTTGAACTTCTGATCCTCATACCTCCTCTTGCTTCTGTCTATACATGGTTGTTTTCAATAATAAGATCAGTATTTTTTATGTCCACTGCCCAAAGCCTGTGCCTACTGCTCATCTGGTTCTAATTCAGCAGTGAAAAAATGTGCAATTTATTGCTCCTCCACCACGTCTCTGGAAAACTGTATGAAGGTGTAGTGAATGTAGGCTGGGGGCACAAATGGTAGGCAGGGCACATTTGACTGACATGTGTGCGGTCATGGCTGTCTCCACCTGTAGTTCTGGAGGGAAGAAAGCTGGGCACGGTGGTTCAGACCTAGAACCCTGGCACTCAGGAGACTGCTGTTGAGTTTGAATCCAGTTAGGTCTACATAATGAGTGTCAGGACTGCCTAGACTTAAACAATGTGGTTGACAGTGAGTGGGAGGGAAGCCTGTCTCCAACGTACAGACAGCAGGGACAGAGGATGGTTGTTTGAGTCATCTTACTCCTAAGCCTAGAACAAGAGCACCCCGGCCCCTCCTGAGTGCTTACTTGGCAGACCAAGTAAAACTGGAGGATGGATGAGCGAGCTTTCCTTCGTCTCTCTTCTCCCCCTTCCAATACTGAAGGCTGGAATCAAAGCCCAGTACTCAGTCTTTATTTATTTAGCGTCCTGATGTCCAGGAGAGCCAGACCCACAGCAGGGCCCTCAAGACTCCAAAAAACTTGTCACTCTTCTAGACGAGGACATCAAGTAGGAGAGTCACTCATGTCCGTTTTCTCAAAGTCCAAGGGCTTATCAGGAGGCAGGCAGGGGCTGTGCCTGTGGAGAAAACGTACAGGCATTTACTGGCCTTGAGACCTCTGATGGGGAACTGCAGACACATCTGGGTGTCTGGAGGGACAAGGTGCCAAGTAGTGACCTTGGCCACTTGCCATGAGAACAAGTTGACCAGGATAAGCCAAAACATGGAGCTGGAAGGTACTGCTCCATTTTTTAATTTTTTTTGGAGGAGGACAAGAGATAGATCTTACTTTAGCCCAGGGTGGCTTAGAACTCACCAGTAGCCCAGGCTGATCTACAACTCACATATGGAACTCAGGCTAGCCTGAACTTATGGCAATCTTCCTAGCTCAGCCTCCAGGTGCTAGGATTCAGGCATGTGCCAGCAATGTTATAGGTACAGGGGACCCAGTGGGCAAACATCTCTCACTCAAGGAAACTTCCTTTCAAAAGAGGAGGAGAGACATGCAAAGAAGGAAGCTAGTCAGCTGGTAGGAAAGCCTATGCACCAGGGTGGAGAGCAGAAGTCTGTGTGGGAACAGGGAGCTTCCATACTATCAGCAACAGAACCACAAGCTCTCCCACAAAGACTTTCATGTCACATGGCCGATGAGGGCACTTTCATGTGATGATCAGAGAATAGAGGAGGCCTAAATCTCCCAATTAAGAGGAAAATTGTGGTGCTATAGGCACGAAGGAGCAGGACAGTGGAGGAGCTGGTATTGGTCCTTCCTGGTGAACTAGAGAGCCCGGAGCCAGGAGGGGAGATGGGTGACTTAATTTCCATTCTGTTTTTAACCCTTACACGTACTAATTTATGATGGGATTACATGTACGGAGATGTGCGTGCACAGTAGAGGGCAGCCTGTAGGAGTCAGTGATAGACCTCAGGTTACCAAACTCCGCAGCAGACATCTTTACCTGCCGAGCCACCTCCCTGCCCTAATTTCCATTTTTAAAAGCTCTTTTAGTTGCAGGAAAGAGGAACTGTGGGGTCACAGGAGACTGAGAAGAGGATACCCACTTGCCTAGGAAGAACAGCAAACCTTGAAGGAAGAACAGCAAACCTTGAAGGAAGACAGGCTCAAGAGACAGCTCAGCATTCGCTTCTTTTGCACAAGACCTGGGTTCAGTTTCTAGCACCCAGATATTGGCTTACAATTATCCATAGTAACTCTAATTTTAGGGGATCCTAGGGGATCTGAAGTCTTCTTCTGACCTCCATGGACATTAGACACACACATGGTCCATATGCATGGAGAAAAAACATTGATTCACATAAAATGAAAAATAAAAACTAAAGTTAAAAACAAAACAAACAAAAAAAGAATATAAGAACTTTATTGTGCTGGGCGGTGGTGGCAGAGGCAGGTGGATTTCTGAGTTCGAGAGTTCGAGGCTAGCCTGGTCTACAGAGTGAGTTCCAGGACAGCCAGGGCTACACAGAGAAACTGTCTCGAAAAACCAAAAAAAAAAAAGCCTTTATTGTCCAGATGCCAAAGACACTTGAAAGAAATACATATCCCTATGAGATGGCTAAGTCATTAGTACAGACAATACGCAACCATCCCTGAGCATTTCCTGGGGAGAATTACAAGTCCTTTGGGGAGTTCTGCTCTCACAACCTTAATCTTCCATCTGCCCTTGTTCTATACAAAGAACCAATATCAGACATAATGAGAGGTTAACCTGTTAACCGTTAGCCAAGAACTCTCCTGAAGCATGAGACACAAGGGAAATGGTAGGGCGTGGCCTGGGATGCAGGGGGCTGGCAGAGCTTAAAAGCCAACGAATAGGAATGGGGAACAGAGGAAGTCTTTCTGAGAGATGGTACCGTGTCCACGGGATAAGAATTAGGAGATGGACTTGAGAGGGCAGCCCATGCAGAGGAAGAGAGTGGAGAAGCAAGGAGGAGATGCTCCTGAGCACTGTCCACTGAGGATGGAGCATGGAGCTGGAGGTGGAGAGGTGGGACCAGGTCACCCGGGATCCAGGCTGCGCTGGAGGTGGGAGCTGGTCTGGCAGAACCAGAATCACAGAGAGCTTTCTATGCAGAAGCCAACATGCTAAGATTTCCTCTGAGACCATTCTGGGACCATCACAGAAGGACTGGAAAGGACAAGATGGACCAACACACTAGGCAGGAAGAAGGCGAGAAAGAAAAGGCAGAGCTGCAGGGACAGAGACCCCATGGGGTGCTCAGATGAGGACGTCAAAGGTGTGAACTTTCCCTTCGAGTGGTCCAGCAAGAGCAGCAAGACACATCTGAGGGTTTCTTACTCTTTCTCCCATTCCTGCCAATCTCAGAGCATTTTAAGATTTTTTCCTAGTGGCCCCATCAATACATTTTAGTATCTCAGACATACTGTATATGTATTTACGTACTGCGAACAGCAAGTAACTAGATCCTTTTCCCTTCACCCCTCCACCTCACCTCTACCAGCACAGCTGGAGAGCAGTGAAGGGGACACAATGGCTGAGGAAGGGAAGAACACAAGGGACTTTGTTCCAGTGTGAGTCGGAAGCCACCAGAGAGGTTTGTTTTGTTTTTGTTTTGTTTGTTGTTTTGTTTTTTTGAGACAGGGTTTCTCTGTGTAGCCCTGGCTGTTCTGGAACTCACTCTGTAGACCAGGCTGGCCTCGAACTCAGAAATCCGCCTGCCTCTGCCTCCCGAGTGCTGGGATTAAAGGCATGCGCCACCACCGCCCGGCACCACCATAGAGTTTTAAGCAAGGGTTTATCATGACCAGAATGCAGGTCATTATATGGAGGCAGGAGGTTCAGGCAAGGCAGGCAAAGGCTGAGGCAGGTGCCCTGGCGGAGGAGGAGAGTGAAGGGTGGAGTGAAGCAAAGACTTCGACTTGGGGACAGAGAACTGTGTGTTTTGGATTCTGGATGCATAGCCAAGGCCATGTATGGGAATGGGAATGGAGCTAGTTCTCGAAGGCATTTAAGGTAGAAAATGGAGGGAGTTGTGAAGGGAAAAAGACACAATTGAGTGAGCCTCCTTTACCTCTCCAGTTGTGGGTGAACTTTGTGGCTGCACCTGCTCAGCGCACTGCAGGAAGCGCCGCATGTGTTCGGCACAGTTGCCAACTGCTGCCTCATTCAAGCGAAGACACTCCTCAAAGGCTTCAAAAGGTTCAGCACAGGCCTGTCGGATCTGGCGGATGATAGGGCTATGGGAGTAGGGCATTTTAGACCCTGAAGCATTCAAACCCCACTGCATGGCACCCTCTAGCCCCCAGTTTTACTCACTGGGAGGACGTGCAGCGAGCAATGCTCATCTTAAGGTAGTGACAATCTCGATGCCACGATTCTGGCTTGGCTGCCACACATTGGCCATACTGATCCAGCTCCCGGCTGCAGTATCGAGCAGTGACCTCCAGAGCTGCCTGCCTGTGGGACAGGGTAAGCTGAAGATAATCACAAGAGTAGGCAAGAAAGAGTTCTGATTTTGGTATGTGATTGGACTAGGGATTCAGTCTAGATTGGGAATTTTAAGGATCCTGTGATAGGGACAACCAACGAAGGGCAGAAATAAGCGCCGATCCCTGAGCATTTACGGAACAAAGGGAGACTTCCGGGGAGATAGTGGAAGTGTAAAACCAAGTCTGGCTATTGTGAGGCAGACCTGGAGTATCTGCCAAGGGTCTTGAGTGCAGTCATTTCCCATTGGGCATCATGCAGCTTGACAAGCATGATCTAAAGTTATAGGGAGTTGTAACTCACATCTCCAGGCGAGTTCAGGAGCCGATCAGTCAGGGAGAAGAGACCCGCCTTTTCCGGTATCAGGTTGTCATGGCTGCGCCCAACCCAGCCCTCCTGGACTCACTCTTCCGGTCGCCGAGCGTCCGGACCACTCATCCCGCGTAAATTCAACCTTCATAGCTGTGTCCTGCTTTGCCTTCCGGCTCACTGCCTGTCCGGGAGGCGGCCCCGTAACTACTTCCGGTCCGTCAGCTAGTTTAGTTTATTTACTTCCGGCTTGTGGTGGCGACGCATAGGGATCATCGGAAGTAGGACTTCGGCAATGATTCTGCCGCTGGGCACCAGAGCTAATTCCCTGTAGGTCAAATCTACAGCTGCTCGCGCTGCCACTTTCCCGGCTGGAATTAGAGGCCACCGGCTCGCGTGACCAAGGCTCTTGCACACGCTGCAGATGAGGCGGCAGCTGTGCCCCCAGCTGCTGAGTTTAGGAACACGGGGATTGACCTCTCAGACTGAGTTGCCCACCATCCATCAGTTTTACGCCGGTGCATATTCTCCTCCTGACCTTAGTTCCAACTTGATGAGAATGACCTTAATCGCCACATGGGGCCTCCCATCCGATTATTCACACAGATCTGTCCTTTTCCTGATGTAGGTGGTAAGGGCAGGATGAGGAGGGGTTTTATTGCTCCTTGCAATCTTGGACAAATTACTTTCTTTGTAATTTTCCTTGGTGGTGTTTGCACCCTTCACATTTGCCTTCAGATTATAAGGCTAGACCTGGAAGTTCATTTCCCTGTAATTTAGCTTTGTCACCTAGTATGGAAAGACTAGAGAAAATAAGCGGTAACCACCTTAGCATTCAATTGTAAAACGAGGATGACTGCTGTGGCCTCCATACCAGGCAGTGACACGTTCATTTTTGGTAAACATGACACTCATAGTTCCACACTTCTAGTTGCCATTTGTCTGGTGGCTTTGTCAAAAGAATCATTAAAAATATCTGCCGGGCAGTGGTGGCGCAGACCTTTAATCCCAGCAACTTGGGAGGCAGAGGCAGGCGGATTTCTGAGTTCGAGGCCAGCCGGGTCTACAGAGTGAGTTCCAGGACAGCCAGGGCTACACAGAGAAACCCTGTCTCAGAAAAAAAAAAAAAAAAATCAAAAGGAGAGAACTAAATAACTAAATTACTGGGGTTCCCCTTTTGGGAGCTCATTTAATGAAGGAATTTTAAAATGTACTCACTTAGGCTGCTCAAGGGCAATGTTATTTAGTCTGAGAGAAAACACCAGGACAGGCAAGCTGTAAATAGCAGCTGTTAAGAGGGAGCAGGGAAAAGGAAACTAGGGACCAAGAGTATGGTGTACACATGTGTGAGGGTGCACAACTGCGTGTGCAGGCCAGAGGTCAGCAGCAGCTGGCTTCCACTATTGCTTTACACTGTAAATTTTTTGGAGACAGGGTGTCACTGAACCTGAAACCCACCAGTGAACTTGAACTGGCCGGCCAGTGAGCACCTGGGATTCTGCCACCTCATCCCAGGACTGGAACTGCAAGTGTGCCCTGCCATGCCTTTGATCCACAACCCAGGTCCTCACGCTTGCGTAGCAAGCACTTACTCACTTAGCCCCCCCCACCCCCAGCCCTTCGCTAGTTCTTATAAAATCAGGAAACTATCTTATGACTCCATAATTGCTTCTTGGACGTTTGTCCCAGATACAAGAAATTTGTATCTATACACAAACATGTATATGGCCACCCAGAGAATCTTTATCTTTTTTTTTTTAAAGATTTATTTTATGTATGTGAATACACTGTTACTGTCTTCAAACACACCCAGAAGAAGGCATCAGATCCTATTACAGGTGGTTGTGAGCCACCATATGGTCACTGGAAATTGAACTCAGGACCTCTAACTGCTGAACCATCTCTCCAGCCCTGAAGCTTTCTCTCTTAATGCCTCAGACTGGAAACAATCAAAATGTCCTTCAAAGTGGATAGTAAAAGTAGTTCACCCATACTTTGGAGTACTATACAATACAAAGTCATGAACTAATACATACAACTTACACAAATTTAAAGGAAATTCTATTAAGAAAAAAAATGTCTATTTCAGAATATGATGTCACGATTCTATTTCTATGTATTTCTTGAAATTATAGAAAACATGTTGAAGAGTTAGAGATAACAAGAGAAGACACAACAGGACAAGCTGTGTAGTAATATGTCCTGTGCGTAACAGCAATTTACACGGAGAATAACAGTCCATGCTACCAACTATACATAAGAACACATAAAGCTGGCCAAACCTGAGTAAGCTCTTGGGTTATCTTAATGTCACATCAATTTCTTAGTCAAGAATCCATGAGATCAAAAGTTAATTTTAAAAAATTAGCTGGGTATTGTAGGATATGTTGCTAATTCTCACTCTGGAGGCTGGGGCAGGAAGGTGACTAGTTTGCAGGTAGTTTTGGCTTCATTGTGAATCCTACCCTCAACAAGACCCTTAAAACACGAATAGTTGTGACACTAGATCTGCATACTATCCCCAGCTACAGGACTGTGAAGAGACAGAGAATAGGGTGTCCGGGTCTAAAGCTGAGCTATTGATAACATGGGGGAAGTATCAACCAGTTCAAGTTGTTTTCCTTATGGAAAAATTCAAACATCCATTAACAGGGAATAGTACAGCTGTGTAAGACATTATACACAAACATACACACAGAACCCTAACAAGCACTGAGAAACACATATAAAGGTTAGGGGGGAAAAGCAAACAGAGTTACTCACTCATCAGATATATTCAGCCTTAAAGGAGGAGGAAGTCTCACCATATTCAAAGACAAGGCTGACCGTTGAGGACGTCATGTGATGTGAAACATGCCAATCACACTGGACAAGTACTGCATGATCCCACTATGAGTTAGAAGAAAAGCTAAACTCACAGGACAGTGCTTGTAGCTGATAATTGTGCTGCATTTGGAACTGTGAAGAGGACATATCAACTTACACAAATACAGAGACACACACAAAGGCGCACAAGGAAACTTTGGAGATGACGGATTTGTGTACTGAAATGTATAGGAAGCCTGAGTGTCTGGCTTTGCATGAAATGTTTCACCAAAGCCTCTGCTATGTTTGGATTAACAAGTAGAGGCTAAAAAATTATTTTGAGACTGTTTAAACCTTGAAGAAATGTTGTCTCCCTCCTAAGTCTGCACTTGCTGCTACACTGAGAGCTTTCAGCTGCACAGACCTTCCTTGGTACTAAGACACTCCTGGCAAACCTGTAGTTCTTTTGATTATGGCTAGCCACAGTCAAAAGGGATTTGTGTGGGCTATCTGCTCTCTCAGGCAGCAAGGGCAAGCAAGATAACTTTGGTAGTTGGAACTTTTCCCAGACCCAATTAATTCTGTGAAATGACTGAATAAAAGTAGCTGGAATGTGCTAGTTGGGGCCAGTCTTTTCAAGAAGGCTGAACCCCTTTGCTCCTGTGGAAAATTATGGCTTAGCATCTTGGTGAGCTTCTCTCTCTACTACGGCACCTATGACCAACATTGATCAATAGATCTAGTTAGTCACCTTGACTGATAATGACATCACTGACCATACCTACATTCCAATCCACCCATCAAATTATATACATGAAATAGCTTTAGTTTATATGTATATAAAAATAAAAATTACACATATAGCTTCCATTTTTGGTTTATTGTACTGCCCTGCTCTGGATGACAGACACCCTCTGCTACTGAAAGCAGGGAACAGTGAACATGGGTCCAGAAAGAAGACACCCTGCATGATCTAGTATCAATTAAGTAATTTTTTTAAGAAGGCACATAAATTTTTTTTTTTAAAATGAAGGTACCAAAGCTAGCTTCAGTAGGTTACAGAGATACGGAAGCTGTGAATTCTCAGCTGCCTGTTCTGGGTTCAGTACTGAAACTCTTGTACAGAACCAGAGTGAGCCCCTAACGCCCACGCCTGTCCTTATCTCCCAGCTCGGATGGCCAGGGCCGAGTTAAATGACATCCAGCTTCACTTTGATGTTCATGGCTGCCAGCTCAGCTACAAAGTACCGGAAGACATATGGCACAGAGACGGTGTCGATGGTGTCACTGCGGCCACACACAGTGCAGTTGTATTTTCTGTTACGCATTGCAGACCAAGACGGAGGAGGCTTCTCAAGCAGCGGGGAAAGCAAACTGCCACACTTCACACAGACGTGGGCGACAGAACGGTCAGAGCAGTTGAAGAGCCGGTCATGAAGAAGAAAGGACGTCCCGTGTGCCAACAGAGCGTCCCGCTCCATCTCCCCAAAGCGGATCCCACCCTGGACGTTCCGTCCCCCGATGGGCTGGTTGGTGACTTTGTCTCTGGCTCCAGTTGTTCTGACTTGAAATTTGTCTGACACCATGTGTCGCAAGCGCTGGTAATAAACCACACCGATGAAAATGTCAGCCTCCAGCTCCATCCCGCTGATACCACTGTACAACCTCTCGGTGCCATAGAAGTTGTAGCCAGCAGCCTTCAACATCTCACCAAAGTACTCCAGGGCAGAGTTCTCCTCGGAGAAGATGAAGGGTGTAGCATCATGGCAGAGACCATGCAAAGCTGCAGACTTCCCAGCCATACTCTCAATTAACATACCTATGGTCATACGGGAGGGAAACCCATGAGGATTAAACAGAATGTCCGGCACCATTCCACTCTCAGTGAAAGGCATGTCCTCAGTTGGCCACAATCTGCTCAAAATGCCCTTCTGTCCATGACGGCTGGCAAACTTATCCCCAATAGTTGGGTTCCGGGGGACTCGGACTGTGATGCAGATACATTTGAACTTCCCACTGCCTGTGTCATTACTACACACTTTGATGTTGTCCACAACACAGTTTTCTTTACTCCTACAAGAAAACACATGAAATAAGAAGTTAAACAGTTTGTTCTGTTTGCTGAGTCTCTAGCCCTGGCTGACCTAGAACTTGCAGTGATCCCCCTGCCTCTGTCTCCCATGTGCTAGGAACAGAGGCGTGTGACACAGAGCCTAGCCAAGCTTCATTTGAACTTAAAAATATTTAAGCCCTGTTGACATGACTGATTAATGTTTCATAAAGAGTCAAATGCATCCCCATCTACTCACCAATATAAATAGATATCA